AGCAGCAACATGAAACAGATCAGCAGCAACATGAAACAGATCAGCAGTAACATGATATGGTTTTTCACAGTGATTATTCTAGTTAGAGATTCATGAGTCTAATTGCCTCAGGGTAGAAGCTGTTCCTCAGTCTAGTGGTTCTACACTTAATGCTCCTTAACCTCCTTCCTGAGGGGAGTGGGGCAAAAAGTGTGTGTGCTGGGTGGGTGGGGTCCTTCATGATGCAGGTGGCCCTCTTCCTGCATCTGGAGGTGTAGATGTCTGTGATGGTGGGGAGGCTGACTACAACATCTTCTGTGCAGCCTTCACCACTCTCTGCAAAGCTTTTCTTTCTGCAGCTGTGCAGCCTCCATGCCACACGTTGATGCTGGAGCACAGGATGCTCTCCACTGCACACCTGTAGAAGGAGGTGAGGACTGAGCTTCCAGACCAGCTCGTCTCAGCCGCCTGAGGAAGTAGAGTCTCTGATGATCTTTCTTCATCAGGCTGGTGGTGTTGTTGCTCCAGCTGAGGTTGTCATTCATGTGTACACCCAAGTACTTGTAGCTGGAGACCACTTCCACCGCAGATCCTCTTATGTTCAGGGGGGTGTAGGTGTTTTTGTTCCTTCTGAAGTCCACAATCATCTCCTTTGTCTTCTTCACATTGATGTGAAGGTTATTGATGAGTTCCTGCTGGAATTAACTGGTTCCTTCTGTTCACCAGTAAACCACCTCACTGACCTTATGTGGAAGAAATCAACTTGGCTTTTCCTCTTTCCTCACCTTCTGACATGGCTCTTGTAAGTCCCCACTTCATAAGGTCTGGATCAGTGTGCATTTTGAAGACACAGTGCGTGTTGAAGTGTCCTAATGGGGCAGAAGATGGTGCTGAGGCGGGACACGAGCACACAGCTGGCTGCTGTCAGAGCTGATGTGGTTAGACTAAAGACCAGTGAATACTGGGAACACAAACACTGGTTGACAGTGCACACAGAGTTCTCCACTGGTTGGATTTTCTGCTGTTTTGGCTTTTCTCCTAATCCCTGTCATTGTGTTGATTGTGACAAACCCAGAGGAGCTGTCCACTCTAAGGTTGTGTGCAAGCACAACACAGCGTGGGTTATTATTGATAACAACGGAGTGGAGTTAGACGTGCTGCGGTTCTGTGTACAACATGACGTCAGACTCTTTTGCAGGTTGCCATATCTGTAAAAGGACACCGGAGATGTCCCGAGGTTGTCCTTCGTGTCCCGTTTGATGGGCTCAAGAAAGATGTTGTGTACAAGATGACTCTTAAAGGCTTTCTCTGCAGCACTGATCTTCTCCTTAACATAGCTTAAATTTAGCTCCAACTGTACTAGTTTAAAAACAACCGACCTAAATTAAGCTTGCGTGCACTTTTTCAGGATTAGAAGGTTGCATGCACTGTTACGTTGCGAAGGTAGAGCTCTGATTTGTGTAGAACACAAACAGCCTCTTGTCTTCCTCCTTACCAAACTCAGTTGCACAACTTTGTCCTCGTACTCCTGACAGGAACCGTATATTCCTCCTATGATTCACTCATCAGATAAAAGGAAACGCACAGACGCACATTGTTGATAACAGTTTTTTGTAAAATGTCTTAACATTTCCTACAAGTGCAATATTTTTATTGCTAATCAGTATTTGGATCGTCTGATTCATATCTTTCTCAGAAGGAAGGAAACTGTTTTCCTCCTGATTGTTTTTCTTAGTTTTCATGTTGCTGCCCATGAATAAGCTGCCTTTACCTTCTTGCACGCATATTTTCTTTGGACACGTATTTCTTTGGAAACACATTTCTTTTTATGTGTAATATTTGAAGAGTTTTGTAAGTAAGTGGAAAAATGTTCCGATGAATTTGAACGGGAAGCCTCTGCACTCTTTCAAACGGTGGCACGCCGTCAACCAGGAGCGTTCTGTCGTCTGGACTCGACAAACGCTGCATGCCCACTGATCCCGGGCTGGTTTTTGGGGAACGTATGCAACATCCCTGTTCCTGACATCACTTTACTGACATTTTCCACCACCCACATCGCAAAATGCCTTTAGTTGCTGGATGCACATAGAGCCAGTTTCAAACGCTGAAAGAGTCAAAGGGCAAATTTAAATCTGGATCCACATCTGACCTTTGACCTCAGCATTCCAAAGCTCTCAATTTCCTTCTTTTAGAACATTTCCTTTTTTGGTTTCCAATGTATCTGGGATTGTTTTTTAAGCTTATTGATTTGTTCAGTTTAAGTTTCAGCCCAATGCTCAACATGGTTTCAAGCAATGTTTTTTAAATAGTTTTAATTATTAATTTATAATGAAGGAACAAACTGTTCTTTAGGTATCGTAATGTTTTGACCACTGTGCTCACAGTTTGTTGGAGGATCTTTTAACAAGTAGAGTTTTGTTTCAAACCAACACTTTTCTCTTTGTCTTACAGTATTAATAAAGACGAAAGGTTTTTATGTGACACACCTGTTCAGGTTAGATTGGTACCGTTTCTTTTATGGCTCCTAACAACATTACAGAAAATCCTCTCCAAGCCTCAACCCTTCCTTTTATTAACTCAACTCTTTATAAAGTCATAGTTTACATTTTTTCTTTTTTATTGTTTGTTTTTATTTAAAGAGTCTATATAATAAAAATAAGTCCATTATTTGTTGAAAGAATGCTGTCCACCGCTTTGACACCAACATTTCTAACTAAAAAGATCTTTTCAGGTTATGGCCTGTTTGAGCAAATCTAGAAAATAACAAGAACGATCAGAAGATCTTGCACAATCAGTATCACTCACAGTACGTGTTGGGGATGACTCTCAGCTACTCCATACCAAATCTTAACTTAATGTCTTCAAAAGCTGGTTTTGTGTTTGCTAAGACTGGTTAGCTGTGACAGCCATCTTGAATCTTCAAACATTGTACATGTACCTCCAATAATTGTCAGTTTCATTAGGATTCATCAAGTAGTTCAAGGGATATTTTGCTAACAGACAGACAAACAAACACACAAATCACTTTAGATTGCTTGACTCTCATGGTACGGCTTTATTCTCAATTTTTGTTTATACTTTAATCATATTAATGTAAAGAGGATGCTTCATGCTGGTGAAGTCTTATAATAGGTGAATGCATGAATTAATTTTTTTATTTTTTTTGCACTTGCTCTCGTGCAAGGCGGATGTCTCCTATCCTGTTCTCCTGCTTTTTCTGGTCTCTGTCTGTGTATCGGAGCTCCTATTTTACACGTCTTTTTTGAACTAAAACTACTGTTGTGGATCTGGTGAGCTGGACTTTCAACGCAATCGACAACATCTTTTCACCAAAGCAACAGGTCCTGGAGAGCCTTCATGTCCTGCTGAGACTCATGCTGCAGGATACGTCATGGATCCGTGGGGAGTTTGGGAGCTGATGTGTCTTTCCGTTTGTCTCAGGAGGACGCCCAAGACGTTTTATATAATTAGATTAATGATAGCAGGATTTCTGCTTTCTGACATCGGTGGATTCTTATGTTATCGTCTATTAAGGAAGATGGTGAGCAGTTTCAGCAATGGCAAAACTGCAGTCTGTGTGAAGGTTTGGTTCGTGCTCCGAGGACTCAAAATCATCTGATTTACGAGCTAAACTGTAAGATGGAAGCAATTTGTGAGAATTGCAGGCTACATGCAGCTTCTGGGACTCACCAGCATGTTGAAAACGACCTTGGAGGAGCCTTGTAATCACGGACCAGTGGAATGCCCACTAATCTGACCATTTTGGATCTTGAAAGTACCAGCAGGACTCAAGGCTGACAAGAAAAAAACAGTCTGCCTGAAAAAAAAATCAACAATTATGGCTTATCTGAATATGACTCCCACGGTTGGCTTCTAAAACAGGCCGACTTCTCAAATTTCTCCGGGGAAATGTGTAAACTAAGGAAAAGCTTCATCTATTGCAAGAACTTCTGTGAAGGCTTATCAGAACTGCCGGCTGACCAACATCTTACAGGACTATGGTGCTATCTGGAAGTGCTTCAGAGAAAAAACTCAGTTTTGCCATTAAATACACATGTAATGTGTTTATAAATGTTCTTACTGGCTGAGATTTTTAATGTCTTAAATCGTGTCCTGATAGGACAAGGTGGGAAGAGATCTTTTTTTTGTAATTCCACTCTCCTCATGGATTTTTCCCCTTTTCTATCTAAAAAAAAAAAGTATTTTGAAAAAGCAGAAGGGGCCACGCTCTCAAGGAGCAGCAGCAACGTGCACTCCGCCCATCTTTCAGACGACTGTACAACATAATCTCACTGTGTCTCGGTACAGTGATAATAAATCTTATTCTGATTTTGATAGAAACATCATAAATGTGTATGAGATTATTAAAAGTCCAATTTCTTATGATTGATGTATTCTTAATTTAAATCTCTGTCTTTTTTTACTTCTAGATAAGTTATGTGTGTTTTTGGAGAGGAGGATATTATAACTTGTATAATTTGTGAATTAAATTTGTAGGAACAAGTTTACTTTTTAATCTGAAAAATGTATTTCTTCAGATAAAAGGAATGTGGACAGATGAACATTATTACAATTTCTGGAGTTTCTTAACTAATATAAGTTTTCCATGACTAAAGTCTTTGGCTGCTTTTTGAATATCTCCGTGGATGTCTCAATGGTCGTTGGTTCTCCCTGCAGTTTCTCCTGCTGAGAGGATTCGATTCATTCTTGGAGAGGAGGATGACGGCCCACCACCTCCTCAGCTCTTCACGGAGCTGGATGAGCTTCTGTCTGTGGACGGGCAGGAGATGGAGTGGAAGGAGACAGCCAGGTGAGCCACTGAGTCAGATGTCTTGTGAGAGGGGTACCCCCAGCCAGTAACAAACAATGACCACTGTGGTCAGAAATGTTCTGCTTCACAGCCCTGAACATGTAACACAATCCGCTCATGGTTTAAGGTTCAAAGGAAATGGACTGTATTCCAGTGAGCTCCCAGTATACTCTTATCTGATTAGGATTTTTTCTACCTCCCCCATGAGACCAGCAAAAGACTGAACCTCCCACATGATCAGAACAGGACTTACTGTTACAGTGTGGAACATGTTAGGAGGAACACATTAAAAGGCACAGCTACTGAGTAAAGTTCTAGTCCGAGGAACATTCTTCATTTACTGGTAAAAGTTCTTGTAATTATTTTTGTTCAGTTTTGGAAAGCTGGGTTCACATGGGATAGAATGTAAATGAACTCCTTTAAGTGGACTGTGTCCCCTGTCCCAGCGAGACAGCAGATCGCAGGCGTGTGGAGCGCAGCCAAAGGGATACTTTATCCTCAGAAGAAACCCCATCCCCGAGACTCATGAGAATGGCTCTTTGTAGCTGTGACATGTGACGTGTTATTATTGAAAGAGTCCTTGTCCCTGAGTTTTACCTTTGGGACAAAACTAATCCCAGAAGACAACAAAGTCCTGTTTCTTCAGCTGGACCATGTGTGGTCTGAACGCTCCAGAAGACACATGCCACTCTGGTGCCAACTTGATCTTTGTCAAATCCAGCCATGTATTTTTTATTTCCAGGCTGTCATGCATTCCTTGATCTTGTGAACAGTGTGCGACCACATCCGAACGCAGTGGGCCTGCGCTGATAACAGAATTACGCTTGTTGCTCTTGTTGTATTGCCGAAACAAGTGCAACATATTTTCTGTGCTTTTCTCATCCTCTGTCTAGATGGATCAAGTTTGAGGAGAAGGTTGAGAAAGGTGGTGAGCGTTGGAGTAAGCCTCACGTGGCCACGCTGTCCTTACACAGCTTGATGGAGCTGAAATCGCACATCGAGAAGGGCACGATCATGCTGGACATGGAGGCCTCCACGCTGCCTCAGGTTGTTGGTAAGTGGGTTCCCCAACAGGCTGAAACGTTTCAAAGAACCAGAGGACGACTCCGTGTTGACCGTTAATGGATCTCTTTAACAGAGATGATCACCGACAACCAGATTGAGAGCGGCCAGTTAAAGGCTGACCTGAAGGAGAAAGTTGTGTACACTCTGCTCAGAAAGCATCGCCACCAAACCAAGAAGTCCAACTTGCGTTCTCTTGCTGATATTGGCAAAACTGTTTCCAGCGCAAGTAGGCTGTTTTCAAGCACGGAAAACGGTACGTCACAGCTTGAATCATTTTGCACCTTCTCATTCTGTTTTTCCAACTTTCTGTTAGTTTCCTCTCTGACAACATCCGCTGGTCTTATATTGTTCTCATGCAACCTTTCGCTTGTTTTTTTGTTGTTGTTCTTTCTTTTCGGTTTCCCCCCCTTTTCTTCTTGTGGTTTTTGCTGTCTCTGACTTCCTACATCGGGGGTGTTGCAGCATGCTACTCCCTCGAGCCTCCTGTGCCTTGTTTAACTCCACGAGACTCGCCGGAATCATGTGAGGTCAGGAGGAGCTCCAGCATGGGATACCTCTGTAAGTGAGGTCACTGCCCTTCGGCTCAGTCATTCAGATGTATTCTTTTAGAAAATCAACCATGTTAGAGGGGGAAACGGTAGAACTCAACTCAAGAAGTGTTTGCAGGAATTGTAAAGGTTTACTGTTGCAGCAACTGCCCAAACCAACAAGCTGTAACAAAGACAGTTTCATCTAAAAAAGTTCAATCTGGTCCTCTGGACATTGAAAAAAACAAAACAAAGCAAATCAACAAAAAAATGTAGAAACGTTTCGTCTCTCATCCGAGAGACTTCCTCAGTCTGAGGAGCTGTATTCAGACAGTTTCACATTTTAAAACTCCTGTTGTTTGGAAGCTTTTTGATACTAAACCCTGTGGAGGCTGTTAGTAAAATTTTATTTTTGTTAAAAGTTCTAATCAAGACAAATTAGCACAAATTGTACTAGATTTACGTGGGAAGCCATGATGGAAGAACCTGCTGATTAATAGAAGATCCACTCAGTCAGAATTTGCTGAGTCGGTTGTTTTCATTTGTGATTTCTGCCTTTTTTAGAGAGCAACACCACAAGGGGCACCACACAGCACGGCCATTTAAACAGGCAGACAAACACAGGATAGAAAAGTAGCTTCAAATAGTTTGGTAAAAGCTGTAAATCACATGAAGGAAACTCCTCCACTGAGAGCAACAGACATTTGTGCTGGTATCATTTAGTGTTTGCAGTAAAATACGCAATAGATATGACAGAAAGAGACGAGGAAACATTGAGCGCTCAGATACTCTGCAGTCAGGGAGAGTCTGGGTGTACACCAGGGATTTAAGAGTAAACCACAAATTCTTGAGCAGTGACAGACAAGACACACTGGATGGAAGAAGATAAAAATATCTACATTTTGACGCATCAAATATTAGAAATTTGTATACTTTTTGGAAACAGACACCAAAATTGTTATATCTTTTAGTCAGCTCAAAAATATAATATGTGACAAGTTCTGATTAAAATCTGTAAAAATCATCAAACTTAAACTGATTGTGTAAAAACTATTCAAATAATCAAAATACCAAATCATACTTTCTGTGTTTAAAATCATTTCTACCTGGAGGCGTCTCTGACAGTAGAGCTCCAAACAGGGTGGGCTTTCTCACTTGTTTTTATAAAAATACCATTGATGTCTACCCATCCATCCATCCATCCATCCATCCATCCATCCATCCATCCATCCATCCATCCATCCATCCATCCATCCATCCATCCATCCATCCATCCATCCATCCATCCATCCATCCATCCATCCATCCATCCATCCATTTTCTTTCCCCGCTTCTTCCATTTTGGGTCACGGGGGTCGCCGGTGCCCATGTCCAGCAATCA